TACGAGGTGGTAATGCTTTTAACTTGTTTTCAAATAGTGATAATTTAGTCAAATCTAAAAATAAAGATAATTAAAACATATACTACATGAACATATACGGTATACGTTCAAATTTTGAAGTGTTTAAAATTTTGTGTTTTTGATGAAATGTGCTCAAAAATTAATATTTGTGCAAGCTAATTTTCATATTCTGGCCATAGTCTATATACAATAGAATGGCAATAGAGGTGGTTTAAATTGTAAGGATTTACATTATAAGGTGAGCATAAATAACAACAGAAATTACCACACATATGGTACTTCTTGTTAAATCAATGAATTGTGATACAGTGACTACTTGAAACTGATTTACATGTACATGTACTCACTCCTCATTTCTCCAAGGTTAGGTGGTATCTCGCTCAATCTATTCTCCGATAAATTAAAAGCTCTCAAAACTGTTGACCTCTCAAAACCGTCAGGTAATGCCTCCAAGGAATTACCACTTACATCCTAAACACAACAAACAAGTCTCATGACAGGGGCCATTACCATTAGATTTGAGTGGGCGTAGTTAATTTCTATTATATTATTCATTATAGTGAGGACTCATGAAGTAAGCTAATGGGTACATGTACATGTATATGTACTACATGTATGTACTCAGGGCGTCCCACAGGATTTTAATTGGCATAATCAGTGGATTGACTCCGATCAAGTTTAGATTTTTTATGAATTTTTAAAGTTGCTCCAAATGCCATGTACTGTATTGTAGTGCTTGTCAGCTCATGAAGCTCATGCTGTTTAGCTCACTTAGCATGCTTTGTGGGAAACCCTAAAGTAAAGGAAACCCTGCAGTGGCCTAATGTAAGTTATGTGGTGTGTGTGTGTGTGTTGTACCAGTTCCTCTAGGTGGGAGAGACTAGTGATTGAGTGTGGTAGAACAGTTAGTGAATTGTGTGATATATTGAGAGACTGTAAGTTAGTCAATTGGCCAATGTCTACTGGTAAACACTGTAGTTTATTATAACTGAGGGAGAGATAAAGGAAACAAAGAATGAACTAAATACAAAACAGAACAAGTGATGGATACTGCATGTCAGAAAGTTTATTTGTGTCACTAAACTTTTTGTAGCCTCAAATAAAAATTAGCAAAAAATTGTTTAATATATAAACTAGCTTGTGAGCAAAAGGAAAAAATTAAATCTATTTTTTTGTCAATTTATAAAATTTAATACTCAATAAATAAGTACATGTATGCATGGAGAGAGATATACGTAGAAAGTGGATACAATTTTTACCTTGCAAATATTTTAGATAGTTTATCCAGTTTGATCACATTATTAGGTAGACATGTTAACTCATTGTACTGGACCTATAATAAAAATAACACACAACATGTAAACATAATTATTATGAGTCTTTATACAAAAATAAACAACAAACTAAACTATAAACAAATGTACAACATTCAAGGGAGTTCTCTCAAACCATGCAGTATACCATGCTATTACAATTTAATTCATACATGCATGTACAATAAACATGCATTATAATGATATTTAAAATCTTATATTTTCATTCTCACCTCAACCGCTGACAATGAATTAAAGTTTTCAATATCTTCAGATATTTCTTTGATTTCGTTAGATGATAGATCCAGTCTAGTCAGTTCGACCTGGTCCCACCATCTCTCATCAACATCAAATGAAGCAGTACTACCATCAGGAGGATCAATATTGAGTCTCCACAATTTAGGAGGAATAACACTAATGCCCCTGTAATTATACACATTCACCCACTAACTTTCATACATACACATGTTCATTAATGCGTCATAAAAATGAAAATCAAAAAATTCATTCATGTCATTTTTGGTAAATTAAAAAACATGTTACAAGTCTCACACAGCCTCCTACCTGTTTGACAGGTTCAGTGAACCGGTTTTACGAGCTTGTTTCAATAAGGATTCTGGTACAGTCCCCTCCTTACCTACTCCATCACTTTGACTAGGAGAATTGAAGAAGTTGGATTTGGTTTGAGTCTAGTAGAACCAGTAGGAGATTTTCTACTAGCACCACGACTGGAACTCATTTTATGAATTTTGGATAAATGGGTGTGGTCTTATGTTGTGGGGCTTGTATTTTGCAAGAATGGCATCTAAAAGTGAGGGCACTATTCTCTTCTCTTTGTATCTCTTTCATTCATTCTTTGTCTCTCTTACTCTCTCACTTATTTTACTCCTC